CTCCTGCCATTCCAGGGTTCGTCCTTTCGAACATATGTGACACCTACCAGGCCTTCGAAGCTCCTGTAAGAGTTGGGCCTTCAAGCTGGGGAGGTATTTCACTCATAAAAATAGGAAGATCAGAAAGTGCTGTAGGCTCAGCCATGCAGCCATGACACTGTGGTTTGGTGGTTTTTGTCAGGGCTCAGGCTCCAGTTCTCTCACTGTGCATATCGAGCACAGTAATACACAGCAGTGTCTTCAGATGTTGGGTTGCTCATCTGTAAATATGTAATGCTGTTGGAATTGTCCCTGGTTAAAGTAATTTTTCCTTTGACAGAATCTGCATAGCCTGTATTAAGGGCATTGTTAATGTAACCCAGCCACTCAAATCCTTTCTCAGGAGTCTGTCGAATCCAGTTCATACTATAATCAGTAAAAGTGAATCCAGAGGCTTTACAGGATATTTTGAACGATTCTCCTGGCTTTTTTATTTCTGGGCCTGACTGGGTCAACACCACATCGGAGCGAACATCTGAAACCAAACAAAAAATAAGTTGGTATTAGGATCACATTTCTACAAAAATACAAATCAGTTAGCTTAAGGAAAAGAAACAAATCCGAGTTCAACTATGAAATGTCTCTGACTTACGCTTCAGAGAGAACAATAAGAGCACTGGAAGGATCCTCATTTTCAGCAGCTCAGTGGACAAGTTCAGAATTGCGCCTGTGCTGGTAATATCCCAACCCGGTGTGCCTGAGTGAGCACGTCAGCGTACAGATATTAAACAGGATGAGAGCTCTGTAGTTTGCATACACAAACCAAGAAGGAGGTCCTTGCAAATAGAAAGCCAGGCCTTTAGGTCATGTTACAATGTTTCTAGAAGGCAATTACTGAAGATGTTTGGATGGATTTCATCCTATCTTGTCTTGCCCCATTTCTTTATTCAGTCGATGAGGAGAAATAGTTGCTCTCTCTGAGGGTCTGGCTACAGTGCAAATAATATATTATCATACTGTATGTCTTTAACAATAACAACCTTGTGAAGAAATATGAATACTATTAAATGTGAACAGTTCAGCCCATAGTTAGATGAATGAAGGTACACATCAGCTTTAAGAACGAATGAAATAAAACCATACAGATGGGCTCGTATTGTGTCACTGAAGTCAAGAGAGAATTGGACCTGGAATGGAGGACAAGGTTCTCCAGGATGTTTAGAAGGTCTTATTAAAGCCCAGAACAAACAGGTACTGAAGACCATGAGCAGCAACCGGACCAGGATTGTGCAGATTTATGTCCCTGTAGTAACCAATGAACGTCAAGTCACACCACTGCACTGAAGATCTTCCTAGAGATCGTCTGCTCTTTCTCTGTTTTCCACAACCTGCTGTTAAAGGACATTTTTATGATACATCATTATTTAACACTTTTTTTAGTTCTGATCATTTATCTTCAAGTTGTGCTAATTTTAATTAACCATTGACACAGTTGCTTCTCTGCCAAGGTGCCTGCTGTGGCACATGAGGTCTATAACATTGAGACCTACTGCAGGTTACAGATTTTCTGCAGCAAATTTCCTCTGTTCTCCAGTGAAAGTGACTGAGGGTCTGTGTTTCACTTCTCCACTGGCCCCTGTATGGCAGTTTAACGGCTTCCTGAGCCGGCAACCATGAGCTCTCTCTCAGGGGTAAAGTGGTTTCTGCAGAGAGGAGCTCAGATATTCAGGAAGAGATGATTAGTTTACCACGTCAGACTGGGATACTAGCACATGATGACATCATACTAGAATCTCTGTCTAGACAAATGTCAGATGAGGTGATTAACATTAGACGTGAGGCTGAGAATAAGTCTTTGAATAGTATCAGATGATTTTCTTAGAAGAGAAAAAGCCTTGATAAAAAAAGCTATTGTTTACTTTCGCTTACAGTTTTGATAGAATCGTTCAATCATATTTAACCATTCCAAGGGTGTGTGTTCTCTGAAACAAATTGCTCCCTGGGGATACTATTAAAGGCTCTCTCTGTTCTGAACAACAATGTTAAAAGAAGGAACAAGGAATAGGTTTATTCCATGTTGAAAAGAGAAGAAAGAAAATACAATGTTTCGGCTGTGGAGCCTTCTTTGGGTTCCTCACACCCGAAGAAGGCTCCACATCCGAAACGTTGTGTTTTTTCTCTTCTCTTTTCAACATGGAATAAACCCATTACTTGTTCCTTTGCAGCCTATACATGCTGACGCAGCTCTCCACCTGAACTAATGTTAAAAGAAGTCTTGGACAATGCTGCCCCCTAGTCATGTTCAATTAATGTGACAATTCTTACTGAGACAAGATAAGATCACTTTATTGGCCATATACAATTTCTTGTATTAGGAATTTGTCTTTTTGCATACCCCAACTTGCTCTCCATGAAACACACAGACAGGGAGATTAGCTTGGGGTCAGAGTGCAGGGTCAGCCATTTATACAGCACCCCTGGGGTAGCTGGGGTTAAGGGCCTTGCTCAGGGACCCAACAGAGTAGTATCCCTCTACCAGCCACGGGATATGAGCCGGAAACCTTCCAGCCACAGGCATTCTTAGCCACCACTCCACCCTAAAGCAAGCACCCCAGATGGGACTCGAACCCACAATCCCTGGTTTAGGCCCCCGGGGCTGCAGGTTTCACTTCTGATTTCATCAAAGCACAAACTCTGCCCCAAGAGAAGACACAAAACAAGAATAGTTTGCTTTTGCTTTCAGGTATAATATGAACATCTCTTTGATGTTCATCACTTACATCTGAAGCCCTTTTGCTGTGCAGGTGTGGAATAGCCAGTTAATTCCTCATCTGATATGACCATGACTAAGCAAAAAACATACAAAGAGAACACTTTAGAAACACAGGAGATAAAACTGCAGTTATACTAATGCTGGAATGAGGGGCAATCGAAGGTAGAATGTAATGCTGGACGTTTGTGCTTTACCATCACTGTGCTTTTAACCAAGATCTTACTTTGCTTTTGCTATAATGTAAGTGTGCTTTTAACATGCTACAGTTTGTAACCAGCCTTTTTCCAGAGCAGCACTGTACTGTAACAGGGGTACTTATGCACAGTAATTATGACTTTTCACTTGCATCATCATGGCACAGAAAGCTGAAGGCAACATCTACTCCGCCAACGCAGCTGAACTGTGTGGATGTCCAGCAAGGAGTTTTATGTGCCGTTGTCTGAGTCATCAGTATAGCAGTGTTGGAACATGCTGCCTCGCCATGCTGAGCTTTCGATTTGTGTCACTGGGGAGGTTCCTGTACAGTTCCTGCATGAACGTCTTTCACTGTGACTCTCTGGCGCAGTAGTAGACGGCTGTGTCTTCTGCTTTTAGGCTGTTCATTTGCAGGAAGAAAATGTGTCGGGAAAAGTCTTTGGAGGCTGTGAAACGGCCTTTGATGGCATCAGCGTGATACTCTGGACTAGTACTAGCACCTACACTGGCCAGCCATTCCAAGGCTTTCCCTGGGGCTGTCTG